CCAACCCAACCACAACAACAAAAATACAAGTAATGACAAATGTATTAGGAACTACAGAATATCCCACAAATTTCTCTTTAATACTTACTGAATTATAGCTTTAAAAACCTAACCAAACCAATACTTCAATCGGTTCAGATTCCTCTCAGGATAAAGTCCACACTGCTGGTTGTAAGGCCTTTCATGAATCACAGGGCTCCTGCTTGCTGTTTTGTTCTGTTCTCACCCTCCCACCCACACACTCTGCAGCCATACTGGAGGACTCACCTTGCTTTCACCTCTGAAAACTGACTTCTTGTTATGCCCTAGCTCCTCTCTTGCTTCCTAGCTTCTCCACGTCCAAGTTCAGTGCCTCTCCTTGGGGCTTCTGCAGCAGCACCTAGGGCCATCTCCCTTATGGCTGTGTGTCCAAGACAGAGGGGTCACACTCCCCCCTGTCTTGTTCATGGTGGTATCTCAAGAACTGACTTCAGAGCCTGGTGCACAGTAGGTGTTCAACTCTGACAACGAAACAAATCTTGCCAGCTAACAGGAAACCTTATGCTCTCCATCTGAGCACAATCCCACAGGACAAGGCTCAGTGGACCCTGTATGCCTCATTCCAGGATGTTAATCTCCCCACCTTCCTCCAGGACCCTTGCTCCAGCAAGGCTATAGAAATGACTGCAGTTAACAGTTTCCCGGCAGTTCTAGGCGCTGCTGCCCCAGTGCTCACACAGGTGTTGTGTGGAATTTGTTTTAAGGCTGCTGTCCTTCACCTTCCCATCCTTGATTGCAGGAAATATCTTCATAATCTCTTTAATTTTACAGCACAGTGACTGGACATGTTATTGGCTCAAATGATTGAGCCAATAGCTTTTTTAGCTTTGTAATTTTCCAAGTCTATTAGCAGAGATGTTATTTATTCTAGCAGTATAGATTAACCTCTAATAGGCAAAACAAACAAAAACAAAAAAACACCATCCCAACAGGTAATATCGAATGGTCTTAAGATTTTGTCAATGGTGAATGGCACACATCCTTTGCGAGTGAACTTAATTTTTAAAAAGGAGCTCAAGGCCAGGCGGGGTGGTTCAATCCTGTATTACCAGCACTTTGGGAGGCTGAGGCGAGCAGATCACTTGAGGTCAGGAGTTCAAGACCAGCTTGGCCAACATACCTGCGGGCCAGGAGTGACGGCACCTGAGTGCCCGCCTTCCAACAGTTTGCTGGGACGGCCAGTGGTCCGCGGGCAACGCCATGCCTACTCCAGCGTTTGACTGGTCGCCACCCACGGCCTGGCTGCTATTCGTGGAGGCGGGGCTGGCGGAGTGGTTGCCTGGTGGGTGGAGTTGGGGTGCTGTTGCCATCAATACTCATTGAATTGTAATTTTAAAAACCCAACCAAACCAATGCCCTTTAACTGGTTCATACCCCTCTCTACTAAAAATACAAAAATTAGCCGGGCGGGGTGGCGCACACCTGTAATCCCAGCTACTTGGGAGGCTGAGACAGAATTGGTTGGATCCGAGGGTCACAGGTTTCAGGGACCTGAGATGGCGCCACTGCACTCAAGCCTGGGCGACAGTGCGAGGCTCCGTCTCAAGAAAACGGGCAGCTCAAAGACAGTCAAGGTAAATAAAAATGTAGTTTGTTTTTAAGGGGAGAAAGGAGGGCATAAACAATGATACACCCACAAAGGAAATAACACATAAAAGTGCAAACCGGCTCCTCAAGCACTTCCTACTCCCCTTAAAAAAAGTTCCCTAAGTTCAATTCAGATCTGGAGGCGAGAGCTGGAGAGCTCTGAAACAGTTAAGCAGGTTTTCAAAGACATCAACGTAGTCACCACTGCCGCCGTCTCGGCCTTGAAGGAAAAAAAAAAAAAAAAAAAAAGGCTGCATTCCGCCCCCACCTCCGGCGCCAGACCTCGGAGTAGCAGCAGCCGCCCGGCCCCAGGCCCTCGGCGCCCGACACCAGCTGCGCCCCGACTCCACCCACCAGCCAACCACCCCGCCAGCCCCGCCTCCGCCTCCACCAATAGCGGCCCGGCGGCCCGGCCACGGCGACCAATCGAACGCCGGAGGAGGCGTGGCGTCGTCCGCGGACCGCGCGCCGCCTCAGCGCGCACGCGGAGGCGCAGTCCAGCCAGGGCCGCGGGTACCAGCACCGCCGTCCGCGGGCGCGCAGCTGTACCCGGCCGGCTCGCGGCGGCGTCGACGGCTTCTCAGCGCTATTACCAGGCCTCGTGACCATCCCAAATCTGCGCAGGGGCCCTCCCACCTCCGCCACTCCTGGCATCCCACCCACACCTCGTGGGGGCCGCGGGGGCACACTCCCCGGCACGCGCCCCGCTGAGGCCCGGGCAATTCCTCCCTCAACCAGGACTCCGGCTCCGCAGCTCCTGCCCCCTCCTCCCTCCCCGCACCCTTCTCAGTCTCCTTAGTCAAACTCCTCTCCCGCTGCATCCTCGACCCTGAGCGCACCTGGGGCGCGGAAAAGGGTCGCCGAGCCGTAGCAACGCTCCGAATTCTCCCGCCCGAGCCCGCGGTTCGGACCCCTGCCTTTCCTGCCCCGCAGTGCCCTCACCATAAGCGTTTCCACCGAGTCTCCGACATCTTGGGGTTGCAGCAGCGACGGACGTGAGTTCTGAATCATTGGAGAGGAGGCCCGCGAGAGCTCTGGGCCCAGGGTGCCGTGGATGGGCGCTCGGACCCCGCCCTGCAGACCTAGAAGAAGGCCGGGGGATGGCGCCAGCCGGACGACGCGCCTTAAGCCGCGGGCTGTCTGACGTCTGCGCCTGTAAGCACTCAGCCGCCGGGGTCCGGGCCTGCGCGTCCCGAGGCTGCGGCTAGTAGAACATTTCAGTGTGGCTAGTAGAACATTTAAGCGGGCGCGGAACGATCCCGCCGCGGGAATCACGCGCCGCCTTTCACCCGCGCCGCAGACTTCGCGGCTCTGCTCTCCTGCCCATCTTGCCCCGCCGCAGGCCTCAGCACTGGAGGTGAGGTTCTGTGTATCCAGGGCTGGAGGAAGCTGGAGGAACTCTGTAGAAGGGGAGGTTTCGCTTCCGGGTGGGACGGTCGTCACGTGAGGGTGTCCTTAGTGCCGCCTGGTGAAAACGCCCAGGACTGCAGGGTCCCTGCACCCAGAACTTGATGGGGCGTCTGCGGGCAACTTTGCTTTTGCGTGGAACGTCTGAACGTATTTACAATCCACACCCGGTCTGCCCAGTTAGGGGTAACACTAGGCGACCGGGGCTATTGATTAACCAATCAATCTCTTAAATCTGCTTCCCGTTAAACAGGCGTTTTTGTTTTTACAGGACCATATTTCCCTTTAAATGCTGAAAACAGCGCAGGAGTTGATGTGTACTGTATGCATAAACCGCACGCTGGATAGCTAAGACTGATAAGGTAAAATCTCAGTAATTTTTATATGTTGAAATGATATTTTGGGTATATTGGGTTAGGTGAAATATATATATATATATATATTTTTTTGAGACGGAGTTTCACTCATGTTACCCAGGCTGGAGTGCAGTGGCGCGATCTCGGCTCACCGCAACTTCCGCCTCCTGGGTTCAGGCAATTCTCTTGCCTCAGCCTCCTGAGTAGCTGGGATTACAGGCACGCACCACCATGCCCAGCTAATTTTTTGTATTTTTAGAAGAGACGGGGTTTCACCATGTTGACCAGGATGGCCTCGATCTCTTGACCTCGTGATCCACCCGCCTCGGCCTCCCAAAGTGCTGGGATTACAGGCGTGAGCCACTGCGCCCGGCCAGGTGAAATATATTATTAAAATTAACTTCAGGCCGGGCACGGTGGTTCAGGCCTGTAATCCCAGCACTTTGAGAGGCCCAGTCCGGAAGATCGTTTGAGGGAGCCAAGGAGTTCGAGACCAGTGTGGACAACAAAGCGAGACCCCGTCTCTAAAACAAATAATAACTTCACATGTTTCGTTTTTTTTGAGACGGAGTTTCGCTCTTGTTACCCAGGCTGGAGTGCAATGGCACGACCTCGGCTCACCGCGACCTCCGCCTCCAGGGTTCAGGCAATTCTCCTGCCTCAGCCTCCCGAGTAGCTGGGATTATAGGCACGCGCCACCATGCCCAGCTAATTTTTTGTATTTTTAGTAGAGACGGGGTTTCACCATGTTGACCAGGATGGTCTCGATCTCTTGACCTCGTGATCCACCCGCCTCGGCCTCCCAAAGTGCTGGGATTACAGGCTTGAGCCACCGCGCCCGGCACATGTTTCTTTTTAAGTGTGGCTAGTAGAACATTTAAGCTTTAACATGTGGCTCCCATTACATTTCTGTAGGATAGCACTGGTCTAGTTGGTTAAAATTCTGGTTTATTGCTCACCCGGAATCTGTCAATAGCTTTTTTGGTCTCCCAGCTTCCCCTTATGCCTGTTCGGCTGATCCATGGAAAAGTATTACTGCTGGGATCCTGACACTCCTACTGAAAGTGTAGGCATACACCTTCAGTGACCCTGGGAATTTGCAGAATAAAGTCCAAGCTTTTCATAGCAACCTTCGCAACTTTCCACATGCATTCATCACCCAAGAACTCTAGAGCGGAAAAGAAACTGATGACTTAGGGAGCAAGATAATATTTTTTGAGACTTAATTCCTGTGCTGCTGAGGTACATAGAACTAGCAAGAAAGTGGTCCTAGAAGAGATTATTCCCAAAGAGGATTAAGGAAAATATAAACATTTTTAAAAAATTACAAACCTGCCTGGTGGTTGAATACTTTGCTACCCTTTGTTCTAAGCTGCAAGATTCATTTTCCTTGTGCAGTGCTGATGTTGATAACTATGCACTGAAAGTCTGCTCTGTCGTCCAGGCTGGAGTGCAATGGCAAGATCTTGGCTCACTGCAATCTCTACCTCCCGGGTTCAAGTGATTCTCCTGCCTCAGCCTCACAAGTAGCTGGGATTACAGGCATCCGCTGCCATGCTTGGCTAATTTTTTTATATCTTTAGTAGAGACGGGGTTTCACCATGTTGGTCAGGCTGGTCTCAAACTCCCGACCTCATGATCTGCCTGCCTCGGCCTCCCAAAGTGCTGGGATTACTGGTATGAGCCACCATCCCCCAGCCTGAAACTTCTTTTTAAAGGAAGACCTAATTCCACCCTGACACCTGCCCCACTCCCGGCGCCAATTCCATAAGCCAAGAATTCCTACTTTTGAGAAATCATATCTTGGCATATTTTAGAGACTGCTTTTGGCCACTCTGGGTGTGGAGCACAGGTGGGACCTAGAGTGAAAGGTGGCTGTCCACTGCCTCACCCTTCCAGGTATGCCTGCTTGGCTATGTGCTCAGAAGAAATGGGCTGGCTTTCAAGGGTGGCAGCTGGCAGATTTCCCTCTATGTCTGTTTCTCCATGCTTACTCAACTCTAAAGCCCACAGTCCCTTCTTTTCCCACATCTTCTCCACTGGATGCTTGTGGGATGCCGAGGTGTATAATGATCATGGGAAAGGAGCATTACTCATCGACAGATGAGGAGTGGGAGTTTTGGAGCAGTACTTACTAAACTGCAAGGTTGGAGGAGTGGAGTTTTTTAAAAAAAGAAAACATTGTGTGTGACCTTAATTCAAAACAAGGTCATTAGAGTAAGGCAAGCCTTAATGGATTTATCTGCAGTCAGGGGAAGGTGATTTGGCTCTTATGACCTAACTTCCCCCAATTACACACTGAGTCCCTCAAAGACCCAAAGTGGCTCTTGTTTTCTGGATTGTATAATCAGGTTACATGATGCTTTCCCATCCCAAGGATTGGAGACACCCTCTACCCAGGAAGAAATACACATGTATCAGTTTGGATACATAACCTCCTCTTAAAACTTTATTCCCAGCAAGTCTTGACATCTTGAGGAGTTTCCACTCTCTGAGAAGGAAAAGGCTGCAGTCCACAGAGGAAGCTGGAGGTGAATGGCAGAGACAGAGGCTGGTTACATAGTGGCTTTGGCTTCCTGTCTGCCTGTCAGAGCGGGAGGAGGTGGATCTTGTGGTGCCTTACATCTGTGTCACTTCATTTGTAAGAAGATGGCTGGAATGGTGAAGAGCACACAGGTAAATCACTGCTCCCACCCCCCCCATGCTTCCAGAAAACCAGCTCATCAAGATCTTTCTACCCACCTGGAGCCAGAACTGTTTCTGGAAATATCTAAATTCTTCTACTGATGCCAAAACAATGAGGCCAGCCTTTGTCTTTTAGAAACCAGTAGAGGATTGAGAGGGGAGATGCCATGCATGCTCTCTGCCACAACCTCCCCTGCTGTCCATCTTCATAGCCTCTCTATGCCTACTGGCCTCTCAGGTCTTATGGGTATCTTATGATGGTCTTCATCCTATAATTCTTGGAGGCCCCTCTCCATCTGAACATCCACTCCCATCCGAAACACGTACAACCTGAAAGAGAAGCCTAAGAGTCTGCAGGTGCACTGTCTTCACCGGGTGGAGGGTGGGGGAGGATACATCGCTCTCTGCCTGATCACAAGGATGGGTGAATACTGCAGATAAATAATTCTAAGGGCTTTTACAGAAGCTTCCACAGAGAGGATGGTCCTGTCACTGCTTTGGGCTTCACAAGAAAGAAACACCTTTCTTCCTTCTGTGCCAGTGACTCATGCCTCTAACCTCACCCTCAAGTCAAGGATAACTGGGCTACGAGAGTTAGAGGGGCTTACAACCTGGCATGCAAGGGAGAGGCGGGTGACTCTGTGGGATGGATGTGTTCCTGCAGGAGTGGGGGCTTCAGATTCTACTCCAAGGACCAAGCTGTCAGGGGCAGTGGAAGGGAGAGGAGCTGTGATACCCGCCCAGGTGGGGTGGCATTTTGTGTGTTGCCATCAAATATATGGAAGCCACAAGTCACTCTGTCAACATTTTGACAAACCAGTTCCCCATCTTCTGGAAAAATCAAACTCTTGTTTTCCTGCTGCCTTCGCAATGAGGAAACAGGCAACATTTTGGCTAAAAGTTTATAAACAAAAGCACATATTTTCTGGTCACAGTTCTTCCAGGTCCTGATTGATCTGAATTTCCCACAGGGGTGAGTAGGACCCACCTGCGATTTGCTTTTAGCTCTATCCATATGTGGAAGGTTTTTTTTTTTTTAATCTTTAGCAGAATGACTTTATTTATAAGCAAGCATCTTGTATAACAGTTTTATGTGTCAATTTGGCTAGACTATAATACCCAGTTTTCAGTTCAGCACTAATCCAGGTGTTGCTGTGAAGTTTCAATTAAATGCTAATCCAGGTGTTGCTGTCAAGTAGCTGGGATTACAGGAACCTGCCACCATGCCCGGCTAATTTTTTGTATC